AAGTACAGTGCGGAGATGGACTTTCAGATTGAAATCACAGTCGCAGCTTAAGTGCAGAGAGATACAAGAGAAATACAGATTTTTAGATAACGGATGAGAGTGAACGTGTTTTAGTGTTCACAGCAGCAGCGATAGCAGGAAAAATCCAATTCTAGAGCTGAGCTTGAGTCGATGGTTGGAGTCTGGAATATTGTACTCATAAAGGAGAAGATAAATATACTTATGTTTTTAACCACTTTGTAAATGTTACCCTCATTTACAAGATAATTCTAAACAATTCACTCAAATATAAATCCAGGCACTAAACTCTTTGTTTGTTTGTTAAGGAAGTTTAGTCTTGTCTTGGTAGAATAAGGTTCTTCTATGAATTTTTTACTTGTGGCCAGAGCCTGTCAGAGCTCTGAAAACACCAGGTGCCCCAGTGGGCTGCTGCAGATGTGACACTTTACCCACACTAGAATGAATGGGTGTGAATTATTGACAGGGGTAGGAGGGGCCAATGGCACAGACAGGTTGCCTTTCTTCTGTCAGTATACCCCAACGCAGCTGTGGCCACAGTAGAAGTTTATCACCACCAGGCCTAGAGTGAATGAATAATGACACATGCAGCGTCTTGAGAGTCCAGAACAGTGCTGTATAAAACTGATGCATTATTATTCTAGAGCCTGGGGGTCACGGGTTTAGCAAAAAACAAAAGAAGCAGGTCAGGGCCAAAGATTCAAATATATATATATATATATATATATATATATATACGTATATAAATATTTCTTTTTTTACATTATGAAGGTATCTGGCTTGTGCACAAAAGTTGGGCAAACCCAAATGAGCCACAGCAAGCTGGAAGTCCAAAAGTAATGAGAATTCTTTGTTTTTGCGTCCATACTCTGCTTTATTTCTTGTTAGTGTTAAGTCTGGTAATGCTTGCACTGAAGACCAAAATAAATGTGCTTTGACTATCTGAAAAAACTGAAAAACAACGTCAGTAGGCCAGTGGTGTTTAGTGGTTGTGATTATTATTTGGAATTTAAGCATTGCCATCACTGCTACAAGTTCATAATAATCATTGAAAATCATTTCGAGGGCCCCTTAAAACAGATTTGCGAGACGTATTTTGCCCACGGGCCTGAGTTTGACATGCCTGTTTTAAGGAGACACCATCGCTGTCTTACCATCGTCTGTAAAGAAGAAGCCGATAACCTCAGATGCTAAACTGTAGCCGTCTTTGTGGATCTGTGTGTGGGTTCACAGTTGTGTGTCCCTTTATTATGCATTCATTTTTGTAGTTCAACCAAAAATGTGAAACCAACTCAAGATTTGGACAAATTCCTCTGTTTTAATCTCTTTAATCCTTGTTTCAGGCCATTTTCTAAATACTACTATTTTGTATCCGTTTCCCAAAACTGTGAGATAATTTTTAACATCATAGTAGGGGTGGGCGATATGGCCTAAAATTCATATTGCGGTATAATTTGGGACACAGACGGTAGACGGTATATATTGCGGTATAATTTGGTGTGTGAATTGTAGGTCTAGCAGGTTCTTGCATAAAATAGTCAAGATTGTTACTTATTTATATATTATAATCTAGTATATATATTTGTAGTAAAGTTGTGAGACAAATGCTGTAACATACATTATTTATGTATGTTACAGTAAAGACCATTTACTGTAAAATCAAACAAAAAAGAAAGACATATATTCATTTAAAATATAAAAAACGCAAATGTTGAAATCAAAGCCTGTAGCAGTTAGATATGGTCATTATTTATAGTGTCTGAGAGTTTTGTGCGTGTACATGGCTTCAGTAAAACTATTGTTCGTTTACAAAGCTGGTCTTGACATTTGTTGACGCTTCCTGAGCGTTTTTCTCTGCACTTGCAGTGAACTGGATGATTCAATGGATCTATCTGCATTAAAAAAGCACATTGGATTTGAACAATTGATGTAGCTTTCGTGAGATATTGAATGCGGAGGTCCGAATCTGACGCTAACTTTCCCAAACTTCTGATGTGATGATGCTGCGGACACGGCACACGCATGGATCTATTTTGGCTCACACTGGCGCTTCGTCCTACACGATTGGCCTAAAGGTAGACTCTTAAACTGTGATTACTGTGTGTGTATTTACCTCTGCTGGGGCCGCTGTGACAACAATACAGAGACAGAAACACGGTGTGAATGCCGTGCTGTTGTTCGCTGTTTCCAGTGGTGTCTGCTAGGCTAATGCTGCTAGGCTAATATGCTAGGCTAATGCTGCTAGGCTAATATGCTAGGCTAATGCTAGGCTAATGCGCTAGGCTAATGCTGCTGAATGCCGGTTTGTTTTGATGCTCTCTGTTGGCGTCAGAGCCTGCGCAATTTAATGACATAATGACCTATCGCAATATGCCGGTATAACAAAAATCTCTACCGTGGGCCAAATTTATATCGCATACCGCTTATACCGTATATATCGCCCAGCCCTACATCATATATATATATTCTACTCTACTGTACCTGGTACTGGTAACACAGTACCTGGTTACACCTATGTATCTGATAAAGCATCCTAGTAAACTACCCACAACTACCAGTATTTGTGGAAATTCCTTGGTAACCATGGCTTCCAGCAGCACTCCGTCCAATCACTGTCAGTTAGAACACGATTCAAATTTATTTACCATTTGCAGTAAAAGCACATTGGAATACATTTGCTAAAGTCCCCAGTATGCACAAGACAAGTACATACATAGCCTGTATAGAACCAGGACCAAGAGGGACTAAGAAGAACCTGGTACTGGTAACACAGTACACACTCAGGGGAGAGTAGAGTAGGGTAGGTCTACGCAAATGGACATTTTCTCCAAGATACAAATAGTATTTCAGACTTTTCAAACGTCTAATTCTCTATGTTTTAAGATGTGACACACAGACACACACACACACACACACACACAAATAATTAAATACATGGAAGGCACCGGTTGCGTGCGTTGCCCAAGGGCACTCAGCCGTAATGTAATAACCATTGGCAGATTCCAGAATCAAAATGCCAGAGTTCTGCTGCTGGACCAACGCTTTGACCTTCAGCTGCGGCGTCTGAACACAGAGCAAATAAACTCAAAGTAAAAGCCAAAACCTAAGACTAGAAGAAGTCAAGAAGTGCATGGAACAACAACATTCTTTGAGCTATTTATCTGTTTTTCTGATTCTCTGCGTCCCAAAAACACACTCTTGCTTTAGTCTCTGCTTTAGTCAAAAATGATGATTGCAATGTCTTGTCTGGTTTTTTCAATCTTGTGTTTTAAGCACCTTGCAAACTGTGCTATACAAATAAAGATTATTTGCCTGCGGCTGAAAAAAATCCTACAATTTCAGGACTGAGGAGCTAGTTGTTTGTGCCAAAAGTTCCTGAAAATTAGCATGGATGGATCTAAGAAGAACTCGCGGTAAAAAGCACTTGCTCTTCTTTGGTGAATAAGATAAAAAATCAAGGGTCTAACCACTTTGGTCGTGCAGTGTGTGGTGCGCAAACCACACACATCACACACAAACCGATTCCCCTCCCCCCCCCCGAGCATTCCCAGATCAGACGGAAATCTCACAAAATCTCTCGAGATCAAGCGTGACTTCAGAGTAAACAATCATGGCGGATAAAGAGGATGCAGTGGCGATAGTTTGTTTTTAGCAGAGAAAAGATATAATCAAAGGAAAAGGTGATGGTCAAAGAAGTGCAGACAACACGAGCATGGACAATACTTTCTACATCGTGATATGGAGGTGAGTTGTTTTTTTACAGCGTTTCCTCGTCGCCTCGTCTCGTCTTCTGATTGGCTACACGCTGCAGTCAAGGCAACGCCCTCGTCTGTCCCCGGGGGACACCACACACGAAGAGAAATCGGGCATTGAGATCGGAGCAGTCCCGAAGTCCTTCCGAGCGACGAGCGCAGTCTTAACACACCACACACGGCAGGAAAATACATCAGATTTTTTTTACAATAATCGGAGCGTTATTGTCATAGGAGTAAATCGGGTACAAATTGGCCTAATTATCCTGCCGTGTGAACCAGGCTTTAGACTTTTAACTGACATGACTCCCCCCAGAGTGGTCTCCCTAAGAGATGGAAAAGCTGATGCTACATATGGAGAGGAGCCATTTGAGGTCGTTCAGAATTCTCTTTTACACCTCCCTGGGGAGAGACCACCAGGAGGAGACCAGGGAATACCCAGGACACAGAGGGACTGTGTCTCTCAGCTAGCCTGGAACACCTCAGGATTCCCCCAGATGAGCTGGAGAAGGCGAGTGAGGAGAGGGAAGTCTGTGTGTCTGCTCGGACTGCTGCTACCACAACCCGGCAACGGATAAAGCAGAAGAAAGTAAATGGATGGATTTAGATGAAGGCTCTGGGAGTTAACGGTCTCGCCTCACGTTTCAAATATAAAGAATATAATCATAAAAATAACGACAAAGAAATAAAGTGATGAGGACTGATGTACATACGCTGTTTTTACACTTCCAAAACTAAAGTCAAAAGAAAACACTCTTTGATTTTGGGTTCAAATATATTATAAAATGATTGACCTTTGTACTAAGAATTGCATATACTGTTGTTTGAAACAGAATCAAAGTGAATGAAAGTGGGTTAAATCTTTGTGGCTCCTCTCAGCGTTTGGAAATTACATAGAAGACAATAAATGCGATTAAGTTGTAGTTTTAAGCCCGGACAGAAGCGGACTTGAACCGCAGCTTTGTAACCGGCCCCCGTTCATGAAATCCTCCCTAATCCGCGTTAATCTCACTCTTTTATTCATGATTCTGCTGCAGAGAGAAGGCTAACGTGACACAGCACCTCACACTGTGTTTGTCTGCAGCTGCGACACGGAACGAGCCAGGTTTATTCCAACATCACATCAAAGCAGAGACTGTTTCACTGCAGTGTTACAGCCGCATCAGTCTCTGGTCTTTGATCCGGTCTTCAGCAGAGGGGTCTGATGGATCCGGTTTTCAGCAGACGGGTCTAGTGGATCCGGTCTTCAGCAGAGGGGCCTGGCAGACTCATGCAGACTTTGGAGACTCGGCTAGACTGGGGTAGACTTGGGGGACTTGGGCAGACTCGGGCAGACTTGGGGGACTCGGGCAGACTCGGGCAGACTTGGGGGACTCGGGCAGACTCGGGCAGACTTGGGGGACTCGGGCTGACTCGGTTAGACCTGGGCAGACTCGAGCAAACTTTGGACCTGCTCCAGACTTTGGAGACTCGGGTTGACTGGGGTAGACTTGGGAGACTCGGGTAGACTATGGCAGACTTGGGGGACTCGGGCAGACTCGGTTAGACCTGGGCAGACTCGAGCAGACTTGGGAGACACGGGCAGACTTTGGAGACTTGGGTAGACTATGGCAGACTTGGGTAGACCGGGGTAGACTCGGGTAGACTTAGGATACTCGAGCAGACTTGGGAGACACGGGTAGACTCGTTATGGAGACAGCAGCTCTCACACTCAGAGGTGACATCGGTGTGATGAGCTGTGAAATTAGCCGTCGGCGCCGATACGCTAGGATAATTAGCATCAACAAGAGCAGATGTGTTGCTACAAGTGTCCAACGACTTAAGTTGCTTTAAAGACGAGGTTAAAAGGAGCTGACAAGACAAAGGACTAATAGAGTATACTGAGAATAGCAGCAGGTAGTTTCTCTCAGGACTCTCTAGTCTCGCTCCGGTCTCTCTCTCTGCTCTCTCTCTGGTCTCTCTTGATTGTCTCTCTCTCGGGTCTCTGGTCTTTTCTCTAGACTCTCTCTAGTCTCTCTTCCTGGTCTCTCTCTGATCGTTCTCTAGTCTCTCTCTCTGGTCTTTCTCTCTAGTCTTTCGCTCTGGCCCCTCTCCCTGGTCTCTCTCTAGTCTCTCTCTCTAGTTTCTCTCCCTGGTTTTTCTCTGATCTCTCTCCAGTCTCTCTCCGTGGTATTTCTCTCTGGTCTTTCTCTCTGGTCTCACTCATGGTCTCGCTCTGGTCTCGCTCTGGTCTCTCTCTGGTATCTCACTGGTCTCTCTGGTTTCCATTAGATATAAGGAGCTTAGTCAGAGAGGAGCAGTAGAGCCGCTGCTCCTTCACAGGGAGAGGGGCCGGTTGAGGTGGTGACATCTCTTTCCCACCTCCCTGGGGAGAAACCACGAGGAGGAGACCTGGGGAAGAGCCAGGACACAGTGTGACAGTGTCTCTTAGCCAGGAACGCCTCGGGACTCTCCCAGATGAGCTGGAGGAAGTCCCAGTTTAGAGCCTTGTTTCTTGTTCAAAAGAATTTACCCAAAAACATTGACAATTTTATTCGTGCCAAAATCGATAGAAAACTGCGTCCCTCTCCATGAATGAATGCATCAGTAACGACAATTCAATTATTTTTTTTATTGCCCTAAATCACAACAGTCGTTATCTTGGAGGACTAATTACAAAGTTGTCGATTTGCCAACAAAGATCAGAGAATCGCAGGAAATGCAATGATAAACACATAGTCATAGGTCCAGAAGGAGAAGATGTCCATAAATGTCCTTAAATATCAACTTGTTAAAAGCTCTTTCCCAACTTCCTTCCAAACTCTTGTCCCAGTTAAACCTTCGAATAACTCCAGTTTTTCTAATAACATGAATAAACAATCTCACAGTTCTCTCTCCCTCTGCAGCTCCTGGTTTACAGACTGTACTGAACCCGCACAGGGCCCTACAATTGAATCTATACTGGTGCAGTGCGCAATGAAGGGATTTGAAGCTAAACGCACAACTTTAGCTGCATATAGTGAAAACAATTTGGCTCACTTGATGAAAGTGGAAAAACCAGAGACGCTAAAACTACAAACAAGATCAAAACTAAAGCAGGAGAATAAAACGTGGATCCAAGGAGTCGTTTAAGGCGATTAACTGAACCCCAACTTTTTAATTCGATCAAACTTATCTCTGTAACTTTGCCTCACCATCTCTATTCACTTGTATAGCTGTTAGCCTGTTAGCACGACCGGGGATTAGCTTTATCACACTCAAAAAACAATCAGGCCTCACCCCAAAGAGGCATAAAGTGACTCAGATGGCTCTTCATATCTCAAGTATTGGACGGAGATACTGTATATGATGGAGATTCATGTTTTGAATTGACAAGATACAGTATGTGACTTTTTTGGCTTCTTCAATCTGGTTTTTAGTGTTGGCTCCCGTGAAGATATTTCGCAATAGCATGTCAGGGCACATATGAAACTTATCTTAGTTGTCTGTCCAGAGTTTGCTTTCAAAAATCTCAACGACTCCTACTCTGTTTTATTGTCAGCATGTAAGATGAACACAAGAACAATCAATCAGAAAGAAGCAGAGACAAGCCAATCAGAGCAGAAGGAAGTACAGACAAAACAAGAGCTGAAGCAGGTCTGAAACAGGTCTGAAGCAGGACTAAAGCAGGACTAAAGAAGGTCTGAAGCAGGACTAAAGCAGGACTAAAGAAGGTCTGAGCCAGGGCTAAAGCAGGACCAAAGAAGGTCTGAGCCAGGGCTAAAGCAGGACTAAAGAAGGTCTGAGCCAGGACTAAAGCAGGACTAAAGAAGGTCTGAGCCAGGGCTAAAGCAGGACTAAAGAAGGTCTGAGCCAGGGCTAAATCAGGACTAAAGAAGGTCTGAAACAGGTCTGAAGCAGGACTAAAGCAGGACTAAAGAAGGTCTGAGCCAGGGCTAAAGCAGGACTAAAGCAGGACTAAATTAGGACTAAACCAGTAAAGATCCTGCTAGATTAAGACTAAACCAGGACTAAAGCAGGACTAAACCAGGACTAAAGCAGGACTAAAGCAGGACTAAAACAGGACTAAATAGGACTAAAGCAGGACTAAAGTACAACTAAAGCAGGACTAAGTTAGGAAGCAAGACTGGACCAGGAATAAATCAGGATTACATAACATTAAAGAAGAGTAGAAGGTAAAATAACAGCACTCAGATTATGCGCACATAAAACAAGATCTATAATCTAAGATAATAAGTAACAATATTAAGTAAGGGATAATGTATAGTAGGCAAGTCATTATCAGAAAACAAGTACCAATAGAGTTTGCGGAGGGGTCTGCTTTGCCCGGAGGGGTCTGCCTACTATACATTATCCCGCTTAATATACGGCTTTGTACCGACAGAAAAGAACAGTATTTTTGTCATGAAAACGTTAAGAGATAATTCTGAAAACCTCTGTGCATGTGTGTTGTATAATATGTATGTATAATATATTCTCTGATTAACATTTAAATGTGTTATTGATTGGTATTTGCGTTTATTGAGCGTGGCTAGCTCCGTTAGCTTCTCTCGCAGAGACAGTATTTGCGGAGTAATCTACACCGAGCAAAAAGACTACCTCACAAGGCAGGTTAAACACAGTCGTTCTGACACACCAGCCTGCGTTAATCCTGTTGCACCCTCTCTGACTGAAGTTAATGTACAATTAGAGCAAATTAGAAGCAAAATACAGGGCGTCTCTCTCTGGTATCTCTCTCTGGTCTCTCGCTAGGGTCTCTCTCTCTGGTCTCTCTGGTCTCTCTCTATGGTCTCTCTTTCTAGTCACTTTCTTTGAACTCTCTCTTTGATTTCTCTTTCTCTCCCTGGTCACTTTCTCTGCTCTCGCTCTTTGGTCCCTCTCTCTCTCTTTCTGGTCTTTTTCAGAGGGTTTTAACAATAATCATTTGGACCAGATTCATTAGGGAGTATTGTTTGGCCCAGTGTGACTTGGGTGAGCTGGTTGGTCTGATTAAAGAGACATATTTTCCCAGATTTTCAGTTGCATGCTACAATGTAAAAGCTATTTCTTGTAACCAAGCAGACATTTTTGATCCTAACTTCTTTGTCATTGAGTTTGCACAGAGAATATAGCGGTTCATTCCAGGGGACAGAAGCCAGAGATTTCCTTCTCCGTCACAGAACACATTCAGGCTGTCAGCTCATTTAGCAGAAACGCAGACGTCCCATTTGACGGTGGAGAAATGCATGAGCGGCTGCAGTCTATTAGCATTCTTGATTCATCTGCTAATTATAAACAACACTGTGGCTGAGGTAATTGACTAAAACCAAAATCCATCACGGTGGAATCTGCAGCCGCACAAACCCCACAAGAAATACTTCTGTTGTTCTGTTTTTAAAGAATCACTTTTCATCTGTTTGTTTCTGAGATGTTTCACCTAAAGATCAAACAAACGTGTGCAACTTTTCTGTCAAGGGTTTTACCGAGACTTTAAAGCGTCTCTGCTGGTTACACGTCTCTCCATGGCCTCGCACCAAACTCCATCTGTGACATCTGTGTGTACCAACTCTGAGGGGCACAGGGACTGGCCTTCTGCTGGGACTCTGAGGAGCACAGGGACTGGCCTCCTGCTGGGACTCTCTCTCTCTCTCTGCTCTCTCTTTCTCTCTTTAGACCAGAAGCAGGAGAGAGAAACAATACACCACTCACAATCTGGGAGAAAGGTGGAGAAAATAAAATTGCCAGAAAAGCAGCAGTTTGTGTTTGGGAAGAAAACAACGACAGATGAGGTGTGTTTACGGAGCTCGGCAGCAGCGTCCAAACTCACAAACACATGCAGCTCTCTCTGTTGTGTCTATGATGCGAACACAAAATAGCCATCAAGGTGATTTCAGGCCTTTGTTTTGGAATATACAGAGATATCAAACCCCATTCAGATCAGATCAGACAGTTTTACAGTCCATGTTGTTGGCCCCTGGACTAGTCTGGTTCACTACAGCCCTGTTTCCACCCGCCCAACTTGGTTCTACTTGACTCCTGGGTGTGTATTAATTGCGCTTTAGTAATTGGTACCATATCTTAACAACCAACCCAAAACAAACCAGCATCAGGGGAAATTCCTTGGTAACCATGGCTTCCAGCAGCACTCTGGCCAATCACTGTCAGTTAGAACAATTTAGAACCAGCTCGGCCTGGATAGTACCAGGACCAAGAGGGACTAAAGAAGGACTTATTGCTGGTTACACAGGACCAGAGGAAACAGTCCCCAATCAAGGGAGAGTAGAGTAGAGTAGTGTAGGGTAGAAAGATCTAGCAAACTGCATTTAAAATGTTTTAATTTTTTTTTAATGGAGAAGGGACTGGATCCACCCATTACAGATACAGAGCAAACCGTGACTTCCATAGTACCAGTTCTCAAGTAGGATCCATACTAAGACCATGAGGGCCACGTGTGGTGTTTGCTGGTCCTGCACGTACCTCCTCCCAGCCGCGCCCGTTGGTGTAGGAGATGACGTCCAGCAGAGGGTTGGACAGGTATCCGTCGTTACTGAAGGAGTAGTCCCGCCCCCCGATGGAGATGTTGGTGAAATATCTGCAAAAACACACAAAGCGTCACAGTTTAGTCCCATCTGTTCCACTTCCTGGGAACCTAGAAGAACGAGAAAGACCAAAAAGAGACCAGAGAGAGAACAAAGAGAGAACAGAGAACAGAGTGAGACCAGAAAAAGACCTTAGAGAGACCAGAGATGGACCAGAGTAAGAACAGAGACACCAGAGAAGCACCAGATATATCAGAGAGGGACCAGAAGAAAAGAGAGAGACTAGAGAGAGAACAGAGAGACCAGAGAGAGAACAAAAGGAGACCAAAGAGAGAACAGAGAGAGACAAGAAAGAGACCATAGAGAGACCAGAGAGACACCAGAGACACCAGAAAAGCACCAGAGATATCAGAGAGAGACCAGGGAGAGCAGAGAGACTAGAGAGAGAACAGAGAGAGAACAGAGAGACCAGAGAGAGAAAAAAGGGAGACCAAAGACAGAACAGAGAGAGGCTAGAAAGAGACCATAGAGACCAGAAAGACACCAGAGACACCAAAGAAACATTAGAGATATCAGAGAGCATTCAGAGAGAGACCAGAAAGTGACCAGAGAGAGACTAGAGAGGCATCAGAGAGATCAGAGAAGCACCAGAGATATCAGAGAGAGAACAGAGACACCAGAGAGACCAGACAGAGACCAGAGAGAGAACAGGGAGAGACAAGAGAGAGAACAAGGAGAGACCAGAGAGAGAACAGGGAGAGACCAGAGAGAGAACAGAGAGAGACTAGAGAGACACCAGAGAGATCAGAGAGAGGTCAGAGAGAGAACAGAGACACCAGAGAGACCAGAGAGAAACCAGAGAGAGACCAGAGAGACACCAGAGAGAGACCAGACAGAGACCAGAGAGAGAACAGGGAGAGACCAAAGAGAGACCAGAGAGAGAACAGAGAGAGCGACCTTGTTTGAACAGAGAGAGAACAGAGAGAGACTAGCTAGAGACCATAGAGAGACCAGAGAGACACCATAGACACCAGAAAAGCATCAGAAAGCAATCAGAGAGAGAACAGAGACACCAGAGAGACCAGACAGAAACCAGACAGAGACCAGAGAGAGACCAAAGAGAGACCAGAGAGACCAGGCAGAGACCAGAGAGAGACCAGAGAGAGACCAAAGAGAGAGACCTTGTTAGAACAGAGAGAGAGAACAGACAGACCAGAGCTGGTCGCAGTAAGAGTGTAATAGCAGCTTAAAATGCTTTTGTAAGTGAAGAAATAGTGAATATTCATTGGGTCTTTGAAACAGGCTTAACATAAAACAGGTTTAGAGTCAGAGTGATGGAGGAGACGACATGTCGGATAATGGACAAAGCCGCTGCTTCCAAAAAACACATTTTGAGTGACGTCTGCTCGTACATTACTCCGTGACTTTAAACACTTAGCATTGTGAATACAGCTGATTGAAGCAGACGCTAAAAACAAGACCCAATTTCACCAAGCATGAGTCCAGCAGGGGGCGCAGTGACGATGAATTACATTTACAAAACAAAACCGTTTTTTGCAATATCTGGCCAAAATCTTAATGTGTTTTGTGAGATCAGAGAGAGAGAACAAAGAGAAACAGAGAAAGAGAGCAAAAGAAAAATACCAGAGAGAGAGAGAGACCAAAGACCATCCAGAAAGAGACCAGAAACAGAGACTACAGAGAGCCTAGAGATTATACAGAAAGAGAGAGACTAGAGAGAGAAAGCGACCAGAGAAAATCCAGAAAGAGACAAGAGAGAAAGACCAGAAGGAGATACCAGATAGAGAGACCAAAGAAAAACCAGAAAGAGACCAGAGAGAGACCAAATGGAGAGACCAGAGGGAGAGACCAGAGAGAGAGACCAGATAGAGAGACCAAAGAAAAACCAGAAAGAGACCAGAGAGAGACCAAATGGAGAGACCAGAGGGAAAGACCAGATAGAGAGACCAGAGAGAGACCAGAGAGAGACCAGAGAAAATCCAAAAAGTACAATATTGTCTTTGTGCTCCAAACATTAGCCAAACACCAAACATATTTCATTATCACTAAAAATCACTGAACCGCAGAGAATGGTGTTTTTAGCGATTGAGTGTGACATCACAAAGCTGGGCTAGCTTGCTGCAGCCTCTACAGGCCGAATGATGGAGACACCAAAACAACTGTCTTTTACAAGCTCTTTTATTTTTAATATGAATCTGATCTCTTGCTTTTCACGAACCTATAGTCTGGATAAAGAAATGATGATGATGATGATGATGATGATAATGTGTGCCTGAATAATATAACCTTGCCTGCTGAATTCTTGCGGTATTCAGTTTAATTTGTTTTTTCAGTAAGTCCAACAGTGGCAGAAGGGCAAACAGCGTCTCTTCACCCAATCAGCTTAAGGTATTCTGCTGCTTGCCTCTCCTTTTCTCCTTTACTTTTACATGGAAGTCAACAGGAGCCAGAGGGAGGAGCCAAACTTCATCCACAAACACGTCACTAATGGACTTGGCATGTTAGCATTGTCCATTTTCATGCTGTCAATGGTTTGGCTGCTCTTTCTAGTCGCTGTAAGAGATGTTTTAACTCCACATTGATGCTCAAACTTTTCCTGACTTTTGTAGTAAAAATGTATCACATGCATTAGTTATTTCTCCATTTTCCATTTAAAAGTTTTGGGAGAACGAGTTTCAGAACGAGGGAACTTTGGTAATAATCCTTTTTTGGAGATTCTTCTTTTTAGTTTTCAGCAGAGAAGTGGCAAGAAGTACTGAAGACCTGTCATTACTGAGAGATAGGAACTGTTCAAACTGAAAAACAGATGCAAATACAGGGTGGCAGGGAGAGAAGAGGAGAGGAGAGCGAGACTAGAGCGAGACAAGAGAGAGACTAGAGAGGGACCAGAGAGAGATTAGAGAGGAACTAAAGAGAGAGACCAGAGAGAGACCAGAGAGAGATTAGAGAGGGACTAAAAGAGAGACCACAGAGAGAGAGAAGAGAGAGAGAGACCAGAGAGAGACTAGAGAGAGGGACCTCCTTTTCAATCCCTGTACGTATTTTTGTTTTGTTTCCTGTGAAAATTATGTGTGCAGAAATATTTAATTCATTCATTCATTCAGGTACAAGAGAGAGACCAGAGAGAGACCAGAAAGATTGACCAGTGAGAGAGCAGCAAGACAGACCAGAGAGAGAACAGAAAGATCAGAGGGAGACCAGAGAGTGAGATCAGAGGGAGAGAGCAGAGAGAGAGAGAGACCAGAGAGAGACCAGAGGGACACCAGAAAGAGACCAGAGGAAGACCATAGAGACCAGAGGGAGACCAGAGAGAAAGACCAGAGGGAGACCACAGGCCCAGATAGAAATAGACCATAGAGACAGAGAAAAGATAGAGATAAACCAGAGAGATACCAGAAAGATATTCCTGCATAAGGAATTATATGATTCTCCTCTATTTCTGTCAAATACATCATCATAAACGACATTGGAAGAAAACAGGAGGAGATTAATTAACATTCTTAGCAAAGATAGACACAGACCGACAAACAAACAAACAGATAGATACTAATAAATAACCCAATACATAAAATACATTGATTCTACCTGTGTCCAATGTCGTACCCTGTGGATGTGTATGTGAGTGTCATGTGTGTGTGTGTATGTGAGTGTCATGTGTGTGTGTGTGTGTGTGTGTGTGTGTGTGTGTGTGTGTGTGTGTGTGTGTGTGTGTGTGTGTGTGTGTGTATGTGTACGTGTATGTGAGTGTCATGTGCACTTGTTCTCAACTCCTGGTTGGTTCCATAACCTGAGATTCCACTCACGTCATGGGGACTGGTTTTACGTGGTGGGGCCCGAACACCGGACCCCACTGGTCCAAGCTTAATAATCAATGGGTAATGCTTTTCTAACGGTCCTTATGCAGTCTCTGTAAAAATATGGAAAGGACCCCTGGAGGTTTACTTTCCTGAAAAAAGTGTGTTATGTGTCGGAACCCTGGTGGTGGGTTGCGGGATATCAAGGAGGGGCACACTGGGGCAATTTCAGTCCAGCAGGCTGGAGCCAATCATGGAGCAGCACAACAGAGGAAATCAGGTGTCAGGCTAGAAAAGGTGCAAGTGTGTGGTTCATTAGGCTGCAAGAAATCATGGAGGAGCACACTGAAGCGCACGCTTACAAACCACTGGTAAGTGCTGACTACAAGTCATGACTTCAAATTGTTATATAGAATTATTACGAATTATTTGTTGTTTGTGCAGCTTAGTCAAGAGTCCCTAATTGAGGAAGTCGACTCAGATTCTGACGATTTAACTGTCAAGAAGAAACCTGTAAAAAAGAAAAATCAAAAACACTTTTCTTCAAGACTCGGAAAGTGACGAACCAAAGGCAAATAAGATTGTTATCATGCAGCTGCAAAAGAAGAAAAATGGGGGGCGAGTTTACAGCAAGAGACACTTCTGCCTCTACTGTTCAATGTCCTGCCACAAAATGTCCCGTCATTTGACTAGAAAACATGGAAATGAAAGTGACGTAGCCAGAGCATTGGCTCTACCTGTGAAATCTAAAGCACGTAAACTTCAGTTTAATTTGATCAGGAATAGTGGAAACCGTGAGCACAATTTTGAGGTTTTAAAGGCCGGCATTGGAACTTTAGTCCCAGCTAAACAGCCAAATTCCCCAGTTAAATCCAGTGAGTTTTTGCACTGTATAGACTGTGGGGCATTGCTTAAGCGAAAGTCGCTGTGGAGGCATGTGGCCAGGTGCCGGCTTTCACAGAAAGATGCCCAGGCTAAACCAGGTAGAAGTAGGGTCCAGTCCCTCTGCTCCCTAGCCCAGCCTGTGCCGGAGGGCATCAGCAAAAAGCTGTGGTCTTTAATTTCAGCAATGCATCAGGATGAGGTCACGGGTGTTGTCAAAGCAGAAAAGGGGATTCTGAGACTCGGAGAGCACCTGCACTTAAAACACGGGCATGATAAGACTAAGCATGATTACATTAGGCAGAAAATGAGAGAAGTCGGTAGGTTAATTAACGAAGCAAAAACCGCAGGGAAACTGAAAACAATTAAGGATTTCTTTATTCCTTCCAACTTTAACCATGTGATTGATGCAGTCAGGTCTGTGGCTGGATATGATGAGGAAACAAATCAATACAAGACTCCATCCTTGGCCCTCAAACTCGGCCATAGCCTCAGAAAGCTAGCAGATATTCTTGAATGTGACTCAAAAATGGAGCATTGTGTTGATGAACTATTTATTAAAAACCTCCAACGAAGCCGGCTACTTTTTGAGAAGAGGTGGGACGTCTGTGTTTCTTCTGCTGCCCTACAGACCCTCCGGCAAGCCAAGTGGAACACTCCGGACCTGCTCCCTCTGACTGAGGACGTTAGAGCCATGCATGCACATATTGAGGTATGTCGACCTGAATATGTGCAAACCCTAATAAGTGAGCCAACGTCTAAGCATTGGTCTAAACTGGCAGTTTTGACTCTTTGTGAGGTCATTATTTTCAATCGAAGAAGGGAAGGTGAGGTTTCAAAGATGCCACTGACAGCGTTTACCTTAAGAAGTAAGACTGGGATCCATTCTGACATTGCTCTGGGACTGTCCGAACTTGAGTAAAAGCTGTGTCAGCATTTTCAACGCATTGAAATTAAAGGGAAAAGAAGTCGGAAAGTGCCGGTTCTTTTGACTCCTGAAATGATTGCTTCGATGGAGGTGCTGGTGGAGAACAGAAGGGCCTGTTCCATCTCTGACCATAACCCATACTTCTTTTCCCGCCCGGGCGCATACACCCACATCAGGGGATCAGACTCCCTACGCCAGGTAGCCAAAGAATGTGGTGCGGTGCATCCAGAGATGCTATCCTCAACCAAACTTAGAAAGCACATAGCTACTATGTCTACAGTTCTCAATATGAAAGATAATGAAATGGACATACTAGCCAACTTCCTTGGCCATGACATTCGCATCCACAGACAATATTACAGACTACCAGAGGGGACACTGGAGCTGGCCAAAATCAGCAAAGTGTTGATGGCCATGGAGCAGGGAAGAGTGACGGAATTCAAAGGAAAGAGCCTCGACCAGATACAAATTGAGCCTGAAGGTAATTCTTGATATTATTAAAATATGTATGATTTTTTTCCCCTAAAGGCCACTTGTATTTTTATTTTCTGTGCGACAGGGAGAGCAGTAGAGATCCTCTCACAAACGGACGGGCTAAAAGAAATTTCAAGCGGAGAACCTTCAACCATTCATCCAGATGCACCCCATGGTAGTGGCAGTGCCCCTTCTGGTAAGTGTACCAGGTGGGGGACTACAGCCAGGCTGCTTGGTCCTAACCCTGGGAGTGTATATTGCTAATATATTTTTATTTCTCTCCCTAGAACGTTAGAGAAAGCCATGGTCTGTATCTGAGGTGAAGGCTGTGGAGAAGACCATGACACCTTTCATACAGACTGGAAAAGTCCCTGGGAAGTCTCACTGCCTGGCCTGCATTAATGCCTCACCAGATGACCTTAGACATTGGACATGGAGTGGCATTAAATTCTATGTCAAAAATAGAATCACTGCAATTCGAAAAAACAATCTAAAATAAAATTCCTTTAAAAGAGTTGTTTGTTTTCTATTGACTGTTTTGTATTACTTAAAGTAGTCCCAGTAAAAAAAGATTATGTCTATGGGTCCCATTCTGAACGGCCCTGTCAAAGGGACCCACCAGGTAACAAAAACGTGTATGTGTATGTGAGTGTTATGTGTGTGTGTGTGTGTGAGCTGCACTGGCCCCAGAGTCTGGTGTCTGTGACCTGCTAATGTCTCCTGATGTGAGCGAGACATAGCTCCCCCCTCTCTCCCCCCTCTCTCCCCCTGTGTATCCCTGGGACTCGCTCTCACCTTCTTTCACCTCCTCTGAGTAAAGACATAACGAAGGAGCCGGGGCTACAGTCTCCCAGAGCAAACACTTTTCTTCTAGAACAAGCCTTGAGGATGTAAACTTTGACTGGTGTATTTTTCATCAATAGCTCACGTTCAAGACATGTAGGATCAATGCAACTCTCAAGCCTAGTGTATACTTGCGCGGCGTGGCTTACGTTAGCGGTTGCGGTGGACCTACGTAAGCACAATTGATGTTATACTGCCGCGTTCCCCTTAGAGTTTTGAGGAGAATGTTGTAATCCCACAACAAACCACATGAGGGCGATCTCACAGGAGCGGTCCCATTTACGCTGCTACTTTGTCCTTTTCAGAACAATAATAGCAAACAAAGATGTTTGAGCTCATTTCTACTGTAAGTTTATGTGATAGTTATGGATTCATTATTTTATTTTATTTCATTTCAACTGTGATGCTGTGAATAAAGACACAGTTCTTGTTGGAAACATAGTTATTAAATAGTTTTCAGCACAAACAGCAAAACAATAATAGTGGTAAATATCTGAGACAAACATGAACGATTTACGAGTGCAGGAGGAAAGCAACAAACGCAGCTACGATTCAAACAAAGACAGGAACAGTGCAAAACAAACGACTGCACAGTTTATAAGTTATATATATGTTATATATATGTTAGATCAGGGGTTCCCAAAGTTTTTAGCCCGCGACCCCCATCATAAATGCGCTGCTCCCCCGCGACCCCCCACCTCAACAGTCCTTCCCGTCAATGAGCGTGTATTTCCTTGATACGGAGTAACGCAGAGACTCGCGCCACTACTGAGCTGCACTGTCCAGCCCAAAAAAGGAGGCTTGCGTATTTTTACTCACGTAGTGACACAGTGATGGGCTTGGTGGGCTCCCTCCTCAGCAGAAGTGGAGCGCATTTCTTGCGGCTCGCCCTCTCTGTTCTCATACCGCGGTAAAGTGGCCCGGCTTTTCGGAGTCAGCGGTAAACAGGTCCGCACATAAAAAGCGGGCGGCCGCTTTCTGCTGTTACTTTATGCGCTTCATCCCCGCGGCTTCTTTTTCCAAAGTTACTGTAAGCAACAGCATAAAGCAGCCACCCGCTTTTAATGTGCGGACCTCTTTACAATCAATCAATCAATCAATCTTTATTTATAGGGCGCTTTTCCTGCACAGGGCAACACAAAGCGCCTCACAGTCCACACCACACAATGCACAAATCATCACCATTAAAATACAATTAAAAACACATATGTAATTAAAAAGCATTAAAATCACATAAGTAATTTAAAAACATAAGAATCACACAAGTAATTAAAAACAATAAAATAGTTAAAAACACAAAAAGTTACAACAATAAATAACAAGGTGTGTTAAAAAGATAAAATTCTCTAGTTGTATGCACAGGAAAAAAGAAAAGTCTTTAACATGGATTTGAACATTGACAGAGAGGCAGCCAGTCTCACATCCTCAGGAAGACTGTTCCAGACTTTAGCTGCATAAATCTGAAAAGCAGCCTCCCCCTGTCTAGTCCTGACTCTGGGCACTAACAGGAGTCCCGTCCCTGCGCTCCTCAGAGTCCGGGCTGGTTCATATGGGACTAGCATATCATGGATGTACTTTGGTGCAAGGCCATGGAGAGACTTGTACACCAGGAGAGCTGCTTTAAAGTCTATCCTCTGGGCCACGGGAAGCCAGTGCAGAGACCTGAGGACCGGACTAATGTGGTCGTACTTCCTGGTTCTAGTCAGGACTCGGGCTGCAGCATTTTGAATATACTGCAGCTGTTTTACTGCATGTTTGGAGATAACTGTGAGCAGGCCATTGCAGTAATCCAGCCTACTGGAAACAAAAGAATGGATAAGAATCTCCAAGTCTGCCCTGGACACAATATTTTTAATTTTGGCAATATTTTTCAGATGATAAAAAGCTGCTGATGTTACCGATCCAATGTGGCTATTGAAGTTTAAGTCAGAGTCCATTATTACTCCCAGATTTCTGACCTTATTTAAAGGCCTTAGGGAGAGAGACTGAAGGTTATCTATTATCTGAGACATAGTCTCCAATCTCCACACAATACTTCCTTTCTTCTAGATAGGACCTAAACCAGCTTAGGGCAGTACCAGCAACACCAACCCAGTCCTCCAGTCTCTGCATGAGAATCTCATGGTCAACGGTGTCGAAAGCGGCACTCAGATCTAACATGACTAAAACAGAGACTTTTCCTGCATCAGTGTTAAGCCGAATATCATTTGTTACCTTGACTAGAGCGGTCTCAGTACTGTGGTGTGGTCTAAAGCCAGACTGAAACATGTCAAATGAGTCATTAGATATTAAAAATTCAGTAAGTTGTTGGTAGGCAACTTTTTCAAGAATTTTTCCCATGAATGGCAGATTTGAGATGGGACGGTAATTTTCAAGTACCGCAGCATCCAAACTGCTCTTTTTTAGGAGGGGCCTGATGACTGCCTTTTTCAGGGCCATTGGAAATGTTCCAGATAAAAAAGACATGTTTACTATTTGTGTCAATGAGGGTAATAGACTACACATAACAGACTTCAGAAATCTAGGAGGTAGTACATCCAGACTGCAGGTAGAGGAACTAAGACCTGTGATTATCTTTTTAACAGTTTCATCATTGACAGGTGCAAATTGAGCTAGCTCACAAAGCCTCACTGGATGTTGCATTGTTACTTGTGTTGTAGAGGTGATGGTATTTCTGATACCCTGAACCTTGTCTCTAAAGAACTGTGCAAACTCATTACACCTGGATTTGGAGTAGTGTTCTAATGGCAACTCAACAGGGGGGTTCGTTAATCTATTGATTGTTGAAAATAGAACACGCAGATTGTTGCTGCAGCCTTCAATAGTTTCAGAAAAGTATAATTCTCTTGTTCTACGTAGTACTCTGTTAAACTCACACAACTTCTCTTTTAAGAGTTTATAATCACCCTGGAGGTTGGACTTTCTCCACTTTCTCTCTGCTCTCCGGCACTCTTGCTTCTGTGCCCTGACCGGGCCTGCTTTTTCCATGGGGCTTTTTGCTTATTTGTGACCATTTTTACCTTCACAGGGGCAATGGCGTCCAGAACATTCAACACACTAGAGGTGACAGAGTTAAACAGTTCATCTACAGTAGAACATGATGTGTTCTCAAAATGGATCATTCCCATAAATAGTTCACCCGTGTTTTCATTTAAGTGTCTACTTCTAACAATTTCATATTTAGCGGGTGGTCTGGTAGCAAAATACATGTTAAAAAATACACAGAAATGATCCGACAGAGCAACATCAACTACATTAACTTTTGAAATATTCACCCCTTTCGTGATAAGCAGGTCCAGGGTGTGTCCTCTGCTATGGGTGGGGCCACTCACATGCTGAGTGAGGCCAAAGGATTCAAGTATGGAACTCAGCTCTTTTGCGTATCTGTCATTAACATTATCCACATGAATATTAAAATCGCCTATAATGACTAAACCATCAAAATCTGTGCACACAACTGAAAGCAACTCAGTGAAATGATCAGTGAAACTATGGCATGACTGTGGCGGCTTGTACACAACAATAATAAGAATGGAAGAAGATTTCTTTTGTTCTATTTTAAAAGAAACATACTCAAATGATGAAAATTTCCCAAGAGACACTCTATGGGAGACAATACGATCTTTAAAAACTGCTGCTATGCCCCCCCCCCACCGGAGTCAGTGGTGGGCCCTTAAAGACCCACCACTGACTCCGAAAAGCCGGGCCTCTTTATCACCCTCTTCTACCGCTGCCTTCTCTCCCTCCACTGCCTTCTCTCCCTCCGCTGCCCTCTCTCCCTCTCTTCGCACCATCAGCCTGACCTCACATGTGACTTTTCTCCCCCTCCGGGTTTTTCTGTTGTGGATATTAACCACGTTTCATTTTAAAGCAGGTATTATTTGTTTGAAGCCTCCAAACACCTTTAGTTTTAGCAAACAACAGCTGGACACGCTTTGTCGCTGCGTGACGTAAGCTGCGTAACTTGATTTTAATTGACGCTGTCAATGACTGGACAAAATTACAAACGTAATTTAAATATTTTATATTCTCCTAACACAATTTAACAAGTAGTCCTTTTGAATCAAATCAAATGCTAAATCAATATTTAAGGGCTATTAATTAGCAAAATGTTTTTTTTTTTTTTTTTTTTGGAAATCATCTTGCGACCCCCCCCAGGGGTTCCCGCGACCCCCCGGGGGGTCGGGACCCCCACTTTGGGAACCACTGTGTTAGATAGTCCACAGTCTCCTGTATATCAGGCTCTGAGCCCAAACTGCTTTTCCTTCGAAGCACAAAGCTCTCTGCTCCATAGGGCCTCGCCATGTCCCTGCTGCAGCCGCTCCGTGCTTCCTTCCAATACACACACACGGACCAATCACAGCGGAGCTTCCTTGCGGCGACCCTTACGTAGTTAGAAAATTTCGATGCTGCGCGGCAGGCGACGTAAGGGCCTTGCGGTGACCAACGCGTTGCACAAGTGACGTCACGTCACCTCCGTAAGCTCCGCGCCGCGCGAGTATAAACTAGGCTTAAGGGAAAGAAGCATTTCTGAAAAAATAAAATAATAATACATTTTTTTGAAGAGATAAAAAGTGTTTCCAGATGCTTCTTTGAGAGTGATTGAAGACAATAACCCTAACCCAGAGAGAGACCAGAGAGAGAGACCATGAGAGACAGAGACCAGAGAGAGATGGACCAGAGAGAGACCCGAGAGAGAGGGACCAGAGGGAGAGGGATTAGAGAGAGACCATTGAGAGCCCTTAAAGACCCACCAGTGAGACAATGTAGAGCCCAGAAACCGGGGAGGGACAACAGAGAGAAACCAGAGAGAGAGAGAGAGAGAGATACCTTAGAGACCAGAGAGAGCACTTATAGACACCTGCATGAGAATAAAAATGAGACCATAGTTGAAATGTGTCGACAGAGATGTTTCAGAGTTTTTGTTTCATGTGGATTTTTCCGAAGACCACAGAGAAACTTACGAGAACTCATACTTTTTACAGGTGCTATAGTTACCGGGAAAATGTCCATGATCTGAACATAGCAGCAGATCACAGACATAATGGACTTTGAGTATAAATGAGAAGCTTAA